GACGGCGAGTCGCCGAGTGGATACTCGACATGCTCTCGACCTGTCAATGTGAGTCGAATTCAACCTTCCCCTCGGCCTTCGGCATGCTCAGATGGTTTCATTTGCAGCTCCTTCGACGTTTCAATGACTTCTTCATATGTAACGTCTCCTGTGACCTTCAGCGCAATCTCCTTCGTGGAACAGTAACTCCATCTCAAGAAGCACTGTCGGTTCGCTTCTGGATGTAGCTCTATCGGCGAATTGATCCGAACTCCCCGAAGACTACGATCACTGCTATTGAAATTTGCGCTCAACCTTGTTTCCGAGTGGTGTACTCGTGCCCTTGCATCGCCGGACATCATGGTACCGTAAACGACTTGAGGCTGCCAGCCTGCTGCAGCCTACTGATGTCAAGGCTTTGATTCGTGAACGCGTATCGCGGTGGAGCTCAGCTCGTTTTTAGCTGGTAGCTCCTAGCACATACGGTGAACGGGTATAAAAAGGTCGTAGAAGCTTTCTTACAGTAGCTTATCGAGCGAGCTTTCACATGGTCAGTGTTTCTCATGTTCACAGACCAACAGTCCATGCTGAGTCTATCATGTTGTCGACAGTTATGTAGCTAGCTATCTTGACCAGCGGACAACACCTCGACGTCTTCATGCAGAGCGTAATTCGGTCCACTACACGACACAGCCCGCCTTACTACACGTCGGAATCGCTGCCGCAGCGAACAGTGGATAGTCTCATACCAAGACCGGGAGGGGCTTGATCTGAGCCTAACCAGTGGATGCGAATGTAAAGGGAGCAGAACCTCCTTCCATTCGTACCCCCTGCACTGCTAGCCGTCATGAGCCGTCATTTATCGCTGCTGGAATGAAAAGTGGCTGCAAGACAATGACTTACCCTCATTGCATTCGCAGTCAATGCGTACTTCCCGAAGATGACAAGCAATGACCAGGACGTTCGGTACATGTCCGCCGCGCCGAAACTTTGCAACGAGTCAACGATCGATCGAGGTACACCCGTAGTTCGGACCCGCGACTTGGAATTCGCTCTGTCACCGACTTCGAAGTATTTTTCCTAGTTCCAGTCAGTCTCTTATCACAGTCAACGCAACGACTTCTTGGTCAAGCCTGCAGTGTTGGATGTCGCAAGATCCCCCTGGTAACAGTGGTCTCCAGTCCGATCACTCGCTTACTGGCTCATTCTATCACCACACCTTGGGTCGGTGGCTGTATAATGACGCACAACGTGAACACCTTCATGGATTTGTTTGTATTTGCCCCTGACGCATACGATGTATAGAGCAAGCCCTCCGGTATGTCCACTTCGACGTGGATGCTCTCATGCATGTTGGAACGCAAGCTTCTGGTGGTGTTCAATGTACAGGCATCAAGAAATACACCGAAGGTGCGCACAGCACCATCCTTATTCTCTTCGAACGCTTAAGCCTCAGTTGACTTCTTGTCATTGGTCAATCACAGGCGCATTCAACAAGATCTTCATCCTTGCATTCGAAAACGGACACGAGCTGATCGCCAAGATCCCGACACAGCTGTTACCAGCTTTCTACACCACAGCGAGCGAAGTGGCTACGATGGACTATGCTCGTACAATCCTTGGAATGCCCGTCCCGAAGGTCTGGGCATGGAGTGCGGATGCAGCAGACCCGCGAGGCGTCGGCGCTGAGTTCGTCATAATGGACAAAGTGTCCGGAGATGCACTGAGTGAACGATGGGCAGAACTGCCTAGGCCTCAGTGGCTACGTGTTATCCGAGAGGTGATCGAGCTAAACAGGCGGTTCAGCGAGCGAAAGTTCTCCCAGATCGGCAGCATCTTCTACAAGGAGGACGTATCAGAGGAGCTACAACAGCGTTCGCTCTATGCAGCTGGTGTAGATGCAGGTGCCGACGGGGCTTCGGAGCGGTTCCGGATCGGGCCAATGATGGACTGGAACTTATGGCGAGGGAAGCGAAAGCTGATGAAGGACGTAGATCGAGGACCTTGTACGTTGATTTTTCCATCTGTCTGGCAGACTGGATGATTGAGCTGACGCGAGTATGTTCCAGGGCAAAACACAGTAGCGTACATGCAAGCGGTGGCTCAGCTGGAGAAGCAGTGGCTGCGCCAATACGCCAGGGTGCCGCCTCCAGGCTCTCCGCTCTGTCGCCATCCAGAGGAGGACAATATCAACGCGCACATCGCGCTACTTGATCTCTTCATCGAGCTTGCCTCGCATATTCCCTTACAGTCCACCGTCACGTCACCAGTGCTTTGGCACACCGACATGCACGGCGAGAATATCTTGCTCGATACAGACTCTGATCACCCCCCTCGGATCGTAGCAATGCTCGACTGGCAAAACCTCGTCATCGCACCACTCTTCCTTCAATCCGGCGTGGCGAAATTCTGCCAGTACACAGGCACCGCCATCGAGGTCCATCCTGGTATCCGTCGCATCTTCCCCTCGTACCCGGATGATTTCGCGCAGTTGCCCGCCGACAAGCAAGCGCAGGTGAGCCGGGAGTTTGACTTCGCGGCTCGTCAGACGATCTACGAGTGGATCATGCTCGAGCAGGTTCCTGCTCAGAGAGACGTTGTGTCTCATCCCCTTCCATATGCCACTGCGTTGACAGTATTCTCTCTATCACGTACATGGTTAAACGGAGGACACCGACTTCGCGAAGATCTCCTCAACCTCATCCTCGCCCTGAAGATGACTCGTTCAGATTCTATCGTCGACTCCATCCTCGAACGACATCAGACCACTTATACTAGGCTCATTGCGACACCACCCCCCGAATACGTCTCGCTCTACCGGTCCAGCGTCGACAACGTCACCTGGGCGTTGGGCTTTCAGCTATCTGGGAAAGCCATCAATCCCAACGGTGACCCGGACCATCTCGCCACGCTGAGCATGTCGATCGACCGGGAGGGCTGGGTGCCCATGGCGTCCTTCCCTGCCGTGAAAACGGCGAACGACTTTCTCAAAGAGAGGTGGGTCCCTGAGAGAGATGGTGGGCCCTATCCGTATCAAGATGGCGCGTTGGCGGAGAGTCTGGATTAAGGGTTTTTTGTCTGGTCTGACTCTATGCACTCTCAAGGCCTGAAGCTCTGTGCGAGACGAGCGTATCGTAATACTCTCATCGGGCGACCTCTTCAGGGTGGATGTACTTATACCTTTCATGCCAGTCTTACTTCTCATCATCGTGATATCCATCCATATGATGGCATAATCCCTCTTACTGTACTTGTATGAAGTTGTATGATATCCCTCTTAGCGGTCTCGGGCCATCGGTGACTGTATACAGCAAGCTAATAGTAATGTATCTTGTATTAATATGGCTAGTAATGATATGAACATGGTCATGCTTATTATAATCACGAATCCACTCAAGCAGGAAACAAACCAGCGCATCCCACTCGCAGTATCTTCCATCTCTCTCACTCCATCACCACGCCCTCCTCCCCACTCGGCACAACCACCAACACCGCGCCCTTCTCCTCCACCACCCCGAACACAGCCCGCATCCTCCCGTCCACCTCCCCATCGTACTCCCCCTCATACACACACCGCAATTTCTCTACCTTCGGCATGTCCTCCGCGAAGAGCGACGCGCGAGGGGAGAACAGGAAGCCTTTGGAGCCCCAGTGGAGGGTGAGCGTGGTGAGCGTGGTTGCTCGGACGTCGCGGAGGAGGGTTCGGATGAGTGGGAAGGAGGGGTCGTGCAGGGCGAGGGTGCGGAGGGCGGTGTTGTGGGAAAGGTCGATGTATTGGAGGGTTTCTGGTGGCGTGAGGGGGAAAACAAGTGGTGAGCGAGAAGAGGACTTGGAGAGAGCAAAGGGCTACTACGCACTGGTGCACAGTTGGCTAATGGTATCGACATCTAACCAGAACCCAAACTCCAGCCCTTCCAGATGCGGACCCATCTCCCAGAGAAACTCCCCGACAGGCTGTACGGCTTCTTCCCCGATCCTGAACTTCACCCAGCGCAGTGTATGTTTAGACCTAGAACCAAGCAGACACCGCAAGAACGAACCCAAGCTCTCTTCGCCAAACGTGTTCCTGTCGTTGATCTCTAGCGCAGTGAGGGCGGGGTCGTACAGCTGAGGCATCGCAGGGATCTTGGAGCGTCCATTGAAGACCGTCGCGCAGTGTTCCAAGCTCAGATGGCGCAACTCCCTAAAAGCACAAGCAAAAGCACACAATTCGTCCGCAGTCAGCCCGCACCGCGCCAGAGACAAACTCATCACAGCCGGGAACCCAGCAGAGATCTTCTTGACCTTCAGCGCGTCCCACACCTCGACGACGCCGAACATGTCCAGGGCGAGCAAATTGACAGGTCGGTAGGGCATGTCGCAGAAGGGCAGGAGGAACGCGCTGACGGCGTCGTTGCGGATGAACGGGTCCGCCGCGCGCGGGTCGCCGATGCCCAGGGCTTGGATCCAGGTGGCGACTTCGGGGCTGCGCATGAGGGTCACCTCGATGAGGCTCATGAATTCTTCGTTCAGGGCGCGAGGAGCTTTGAGGATGTAGGGGCGGGCAGCGCGGAGCCAGCTCGAGCAGGCGATCGCGGAGCAGTAGAGAGCAGAGAGGTCGCGTGCGAAGTAGAGGTGCTTCATGATCAGGTCCAGTGCTTCAGGCGGAAGGCGGAGAGACTTGCCATGTCGGAGGTTGGTAGATGGTGGTGGTGGTGCCCTGACCGCGTCAAAGTGGCCTGTATGTTAGCATACAGACTCTGTTGGAGGTGGAGGCCCACGTACAAAAGTTGTAGCCGTCCGCTGGGGCTCTCAGTGAGTTTTGCATGTAGCTTGTTGTCCTGCAACGAGTTGTAAAGCTTCACAAGTTTCGTGAGTTGAGGCTGTGTGGGATAGTTTGTAGTAAGGACCGTAGTATTAGCTGCCTCCGTAGGAGACATGTTGAAGGAATGACGAAGCGAACAGTGCTTGCCGGAGGTACGGTAAGTATGGGTCAAAAGAAGCTTTCCTTTTATATCAATGATATTCCGAGAGTTTACAAGTCCCTGGTAGTATATCGGTTAGTACACGCGCCTGTCACTCTGAACGGTGCGCGCGAAAGCGGGGTTCGACTCCCCGCCAGGGAGGTGCATCGATACGTCGGATCCCTTGCTCTTTTATCTTTTATTGCGGGTCTTGGTTCGCGGGATTTACACTTTGAAAGGTATGGACAATGAAGCATTAAATAGTGCTGGTTCTCGCTATGCCTGAAGCCCGAGCGGAAGCAGAACAGACACCAACTGTATTGAACGGGCCCGGGAGAGAAAAATCTACATCCGTTCCCCGACGATTGCATCATACCCATGCACAACTCGCTCGATATGCCTCCGCCGAATTCATTCGAATTCGATTCCTTCCGCAGTGGCACCCTGCAGTCGTTTGGGTTTGGGTTTGAAATTTGAATTTTGTTCACCGGAATCACGCTCGCGATCGTCACGCGTGCGTGTACAGGTTGGAAGGTTGATCTAGGGTCCATGATATGCGTCTCACAAACAACTTGTCTGAGTCTCGCCGTCACGAATTCAAAACGTCTGACAGACAGAAACACACCTGCAGTCGCCAGGGGAAGAACGGCTCAAGCTCACGCTCAAGAGTGACTCTAGAGATATCTCTGCAGCGGCAGCGGCACAGGTGATCAAGCAACACCCGGATCTGTGATCGTCAGGGCAGAACACGAAAAACCATGATGTTACCGGCCTCGTCCTCCTCCGGCCTTCGGATCCGGAGTACTTGCAATTGGTAGGTGTGGCGTTATGTAACGTTGTATAACGTTCTGGACGCGTCAGATAAAGCCCAAAGGTAGAGCTGCCGTATATACCAAATTCACGACATCGCGTCCCTCGGCGGTCTGTGGCGTAGAGGGATTTACGTCTCCTGGAAAGACTCAAAGAGTGGGCAGGCCGATGCAGTCAGGGGGCGGTCGGTAGCACGGGTGTGACGTAGTCGCCCACGGTGCAGAAATTGAGAAAGGGATCTGTGTATTGTCAGATTCGGATTGGAAATACATATGCATATCGCGGTTACCAGAACTTAGAAGCTGTGTATGTGCGCATCCGAGCTGTTCGCTCGCTCACAGCCAAAAACCCGAGGAGAGATCGGCGCCTTGGTCCCGGGGACGCTCGAGCTCTCTGTTCTGAATCTGTTGGATAATCTGAATCGATGGCGGATGGCGTACAGGTACGGCAGATGGGGTGAACGGAGAGGTGTGGATGACAGCATATACGACATGCGTGAACGGCATGCCAGGGGAAGGAAGGGCGATGAAAGAGAGCGATGGGTGGCAGGAGAGGACGGATAAGAGGAAAGAGAGGAACAGACGCGAGCGCCGAGGCACATGAAAACGAGAGGGTCGGTCGATCGAAAATGAAGGAAAGGTTCTGCTGGTTCTGCGGTGGTGGATGCGGAGTGGCGAGTGCACAGGGGGTGTTTCTGTAAGGACGACGAAGGTAGAAAGCAGCTGTGGACGAGCAGAGACGACTGCGGAGGACTGGGGAGAGAGGGGAGAGACAGAGACCGAGATGCGAGTGGGAGACGCACCCGCCAAACAGGGCAGACACCTCAGGAACTGCGCGTGACAGCGTCACACTGTGTGCTACAGCAGGGCCCGAAAAGGCAGAAAGAGTGACGGCGTGTGACAGGGCTGATGTGCCTGTGGACTGATGGGAGACGCCGAGAGTGAGAAATGGATGGCAGCGGAGAGAAGAGCTCTTCCTCCCAGAGTCGAGCTGGTCTTCTACTCCCTCCCTCCCCTCCATCTCCCCTCGTC